TTCGTTAGGCCTGTGTACCAAGAGGATGCAGTGTAATCAAATAAACATTGAATAAGTGCAGATGCTAAGATTTTACATGTTGGTCAATGCCTACTCTTAGATAATTTATAGATGTTACCCTCTCGATTATATTTCCTGAACATTCAATTTTAAATTCATTTGCTTGTTTAAGTTTTCGACTTGATCCAAATAAAGTACAGACGGTTTTGCCGATGTATCTTAGATACAACAGATAAAATACTTACAGGTCTATAGTTATTTACATCTGTACGTTTATTTTTCTTATATAACGGTCTAACTTTAGCCACTTTAAAATCATATGGTACCGTATTGATTGTAATTGTAATGTTTATAATTTAGTAATTGGCACTTTCAAAATTGTAGCAGCATCTCTTAAAAATCTAGCTAGAATATTATCAAGTCCGGTAGCTTTTGAAATATTTAGACATTTAAGTTGCGATTCAACAAATTCTTCATCAATAACTTCCGGTTTAAAACGACCCGCTGACGGTAAAATTCTGAAAAAATTTTCAGATTCTGATGTATAAAATGATTTGCAATCTTAGAAGGATCGGAAGAAACCTGGCCATCTATGTCTAAAGATACATTTGATTTTCCATTAGATTTCTTACTATAGCCTAGACCATTGAGTTGTTGCCACAACACTCTCTGATTTGATTTGCTTTCTTCAAGTTTGTTCATAATAAATTGCGTTTTGGCCTTCTTAATGTATTTTTGAATTTCATTTCTTAATTTACAGTATCCTTTATAGAGATCTTCATTTTGACGGTCTTTATTTAACTTGCGTAGTACCTCATTCCTTTCGTGAATTTTACTCAATATCTCCGGTGTCATCCATTTATCTGTGCGCTGTTTCACACGAACCTTTTTAATCGGTGCAAATTTGTCCAGAACTGATAAAAAAGGTTGTTTTAAAAGTTGTTGAAATATTCACATCTATCTGGTTTATTGACCAGTCAACATTGGATAGCGCGTCCACGAATGCGTCTATGTCATAATTTTTTAGGCTTCTTATGTTAATCACCTTTGGTTCTGATACTGGACTCTGTGATCTTTCGAGTGCAAAAAATAGCAAAATGGTCGCTAATGCCAATTTGCATAACTCCAGACTGGCATATTTTAACTGGATTGTTGCACTGAATATAATCAAATTCTTTGATAAATTGTTTAAGACTAAACTGCTTCAACATGTCAGTATAACGCTTGTAGATATTCGAGGTGGTGTTTTTGATGTCAATGTTGAAATCACCAAGGATGACCAACTCTGTGCTATTGCGAATTTTCATAAGGGTATAGGTGGCAAACAAATTCAGCATGACTCTGCTGTGGGCGGTAGATTGTTCCCACAAGGATTGGTTTTGTTTTGGGAAGTAATAAATCACACCAAATTCCTTCAACGGCATCACAGTTTAAGTCGTCTCTTTGTCTGAAAGCAATGTCTTCCCGTCTGAAGGTACAGACACCCCCACCGTTTCTGTTCCTGTCGTTGCGTATAACAGTGAATCCTTCAATCGCTATTTCGTTATTACTCACAGTTTCATCCAGCCATGTTTCAGTTATACAGACTACGGCGGCTCTTGTCATCAGAACAAGTAATTTTAATTCGGAAAGCTTCGGAAGAATTGATCTTGCATTTAGATGTATGTTAATACCATATAAAAATGAGTTGTGTAAATCAATTTCATGCTGCATCCCGTGTAAGATGTTGCCGATTATTGCAATGCTTAATAATAATAATTGTAAATGTTATGGAATGTTTTTTTTTACATCCTCTAATTACTCAACGCGGCTGTTTTTGCAGTTAACAGGAGAGCAAGTGATCATCGCGTTGTACGTGGTTCCAATGTAAGTTTTGTTTATGTTTGTCTCATCGACATGGTGCCGGTGAAATTACTAAAACCAGCCAGTGGCCGCGCCAGCGGGGGGGGGGGAGACAGGGGCTTAAGCCTCCACCGGACAGGTCAAGCCCCCCCCCCCATCTGGCAGAGCCCGTCGGGCAGTCAGACTAAGAAATATATTATAAAAATAGGCCCACGCCAAGCCAACACATGCCTGTAACAATCAGAGATGTCGTTTCTGGCCACCCTGAGGTTCCTATTATTAAGAAAATCTCATTTGGGAGGGGGAAAACCCTCTCAAACCCTTCCCCCAGCTCGGGCCTATGAGCCCAAGTCCACCTGTCGGACAACTCGCACCACCCCACCCCCACAAAAAAAATATATCCTAGAGCCGCCACTGAAACCAGCCAATTTTATGATAGAGACCCTTGGATGATATTGGTGTTGATTTCTGTTGAGTTCTTTATAACTGCAGCGGAAACCCATAATTACGAACCCCGATTGTTAATTTTAACAAAGACAGGTGGTGACAGCTCCGCCACTACTTTGCTCAGAGTACCAACGACATTATTCCAAGTGAAGCTTCAAAACGAACAATCCTGACCCCCCCCCCTCCCCCCACTCTTGAGCTGCCAAGCAAAACAAAATCTAGACCTACCTTTTCAGAACCTGACCTGTGTTTTTAAGCCTAAAAATACAAATCATCATGCAAAACTTACCCTTGTTATTATTATTATTATTATTATTATTATTATTATTATTATTATTATTATTATTATATTTTATTTTCAAAAGTAAAAGTGCGTTTTTCATGTCTATGGGCTCATCGATTCATTGAAAAAAGTATACGTATGCAACTATTAAATTTCTTGTTCTGTATTTATACACGTATGGCAGTATAGACCTCAATTTTCCAGGACTCGAGATGAATATTCCGGAGAGCGTGGGATCGTCTTCGGTTTTCAGATCGAAAGCGCAATGAAATTCGAGTGCTGTCGGATGTGTGGTGGAGCTAGAATTGAATCGGTAAGTATTCCATTTTCAAACATTTATTATATCAAGTCTTAGAAGTGTTAAGGTCATGATAATTTAGTGATGATTCAGTGTGATTGTGTCCTGTTTGTGAGATTTTTAGTGCAGCTATAGTTGTGCTTTTTTTTTTTATAATTGAATTAGGCCTAGGGGCCTAGGCGGAACGTCGCTAGGCTAGGCTGGTCTTTCAATTTCAGGCTAGGCCTAGGTCTAACCTAATATTAAGTATTCCATTAGCTTCTCTACCTAGGGTAGATCTAGGCTTAGGTGTCTAAACGAACAGTGATATTTTATATTTGATATTAATTAGAAATTGCCAGATTATTTGATGTCTGTATGTGGCAACAGGCTCATCACAGACGCCATATTGTAATTTTATGGTGATAAATATTTTTTTCCATGATTATACTTAGGAGGTAGGTGTATATTTTGATCTCCAAATATTTTACTAATAAATCAACAATTAATTAATTATCGAATTAAATAATAGGAATCGCACACCTTTTATCTGTGAATTTGGCAACAAATATTGTGCTTTAATCTTCACATGTACTTTTGTTCGCAGGTTGTTGGTGTTTGCACAAAATCCAGGTCATTGTGGTAGCTCGTAGGTCCCTTCATCTGTATTCCTGTTACTTTTCTTTCTGATCCATATTGCTTTTTTGATCGTGCGTTGGAGTCTGGATGATTCTTTTGTAGTATTTTGGTAGTGTTCCAGTTTGCTATGTGGTTATGTCTGACCATGTGGTCTGTTATGGCTGATTTGTGGTTAACAGATGATGTTGAGGTGCGAGCTGCCCTTTTGTGTTCTCCTCCTGTATCATTGGTAATATCTGCTTTATGTTTGGCTAGTCCGGTATGTAGAGGTCTTCCAGTTTCTCCCACATATACGGCATCACAAAGGAAAAGTAACAACATGAATGGAGATAAGGAGCCTACAAGTTATCACATATTTACGATGACCTTCTACACCATCCCAGGGAACAAAGAACCCCACGGAAAAGTCCTCAAATACCAACATAGGGTGCACGTCATCGGATGACATCGGCCGATGACGAATTGATCTGAGATTAGGTCATTAAACCGATGAAGATACTATTTCGAAACCGGTTTAAATACTGTAGTATTTAAAGAAGTTTAAATATTTAAAAGCATATTGTTGATAAAGCATTTATTTGAATACTGAAAAACATATTGTAGATAAAGCATTATTTTATTTAAAGATTTTAATACTGAGAAGCACGATATGAATAAACCGTTTTTTTAAATTCTTTATTTAACCACTTTTTTGAAACAGTTTTAAATATTGAGAAAATATTAAAAAGTTTTAAATATTTTTTGTTTAAACAGATTTAAATACTGTGAAGGCAATTGTGGTTAACAATAAAACAAGATCTACTACTAACATGTCTATTAGCATATTATTATGTTGTTTTGTAGCATTGTAAACAAAATTTTTGAAACCAACATTTCTACCAACCTTTAATACTAAAACTAAAAATCAGTACACACTTTTATGTACTGAAGTATCTATTAGTATTAAATAAACATAAATTGCATACTCGCAGCATTTTACTTTCTATTAGAAACTGCTAGTAAGCCTAGGCCTATTTACTGTAATAAAAATGAGAAAATTTACCTGACCGTTTTCAAGAAAGGGAAAACATTGAATCTTGAAGAACTTAAAAGTTATTAAAAGACACCCTCAAAAGTCAGAAAAGCTCATTTCCCGCCATCTAGGAATCAACATTTTCCTGGGGGAGGACCCCGACCCCCTTTCATTTTGGGGATTTGGAAACATTCTGACACCCCTCCCCTAAAATTGAACCCAGATCCACCCCTGTTTTCTGCAGGACGAGTTTTGTTTTCCTATGTAATGTTATGTGTAATGTTGTGTTTCTAACGCATGATGAAATCGTCCGGTCTCTCCCGAAAAGCAAACAATTTCTTTGGTTTATAACATTTTGTTTAAAAGTTAGTTTCATTATTAAATAAATTTACTCATGTTAAAACGTAGGTGTGCTAAGGTTAACCCTGTATTTCTACTTGGTTGTAGATCTAGAAATGATTTCCTGTTAGCTTCTATATGGATCCTTTTTTTCTTTTCAGGCTCAGAAAGAAGACCATGTATCTCGCTTTATTTTGCGTTTTGGTTTTTGCGTCATCGGGCTACGGAGAAGATGAAAAAGAAGTTCTTAACAAGGTCAATGCTGGTATAGAAGCCGGAAATGGGATCGTCGAACTTCTTGGTGATGAAAAATTGTCAAAAAATTTTGGTAAAATCGGCCGGATCAGCCCGAAAATTGGACCATTCCTAGGTGCCATTGGTCCAGCAGTAGCGTTGATTTCCATATTCTTGCCAGATTCGCCGTCTCCTGAATTGCAATACATGAAGAAAAAATTCGCCGAAATGGACGAAAAGTTCGACAAAGTGTTTACGCAGTTTGGCGAAGTGAAAAATCTTATTCGAGAAACATCCCTGAAAGCTCAGTATGGACAATATGAACACATAATATTGGCTTTGTCTTATCGCCTACAACTGTTTCTGAACGCTCCAACTGATTCAGTACAAGGACGGAAGGCGACATTTATCACTGCTTACGAGAGGACTTATGGCAGCGCCACATACCACCTCTGGCGCGGTATGATGGAACAGACTGTTCTGTCGGATAACATTCCGGAAACAGCCATTAAATATACAGACAGCCACCGCGGACGAGTTCAAAGAATAATGAAAGGAATTAATAACTTAATATTACAGGGTGTGAAAGTCCATCTATCGTACCTGAAAGCCAAAGGCCGAGATGCCACATATGAAGATGAAAAGAATATCTGGGAAGACAAAATCAAACAGTTAGTTAACCATATGAAGAGCGTAGACCAAAAAGTGAAAATTGTTTGGCATGAACAGCTCGGAACCGATTTAAAGAACAATTTGGCTTTGTTAAATGGTAAGAGTCACAGTTACTTCGCTGATAAATTCTATGCATTCCTCAATGAAAAATATGACTGGAGAGATTGGCACATTGTTGTTTACAACGAAATTTCCGGACAAAATCGTCATTGGCTGAAACAGTGCGGCGGGTATCATTCATTCCGCAAGCATGGCAGAAATATCGTCATAGCAAGCGTTCAGGAAGAAAAAGTAGCCATTGATACAAGACACGCCACAAACTTGCTCAAAGCTGTCAAAATTTCTTCATTTTGGAATAATTATGGAGCTAACAAAATTTACAATAATTTGCCGGCTGAACTTAAGAATGGTTGCAATTATGCGGCAACAGGCGTCATAGAGAAAAACGCAAATGTTCATCACCGGGCCCCAAATTGGCGTTGTGCCCTTGTTGACAGAGGAAAGTACAGGCTTCATGCGTTCGGTTGAATAAAATGACACACTAGCTTTAGATAAACGGCTCTGATTTATGTTATTGCAATTTTTTTTACATAAAGTGTTTGTGGTAGTTATGGTGTTTAATAATTTCTAAGGTAAAACAAACTAAAATGACAGATGTTTGACTAAATTTTTAAACTTGCCAAGATGTGTATGATTCCAAGGATAATCCCCGGTATTCTTAAAACAGACTTTAGTCGTAGTTCGAGCTAAAACTTAAAAAATACGTCATTTTGTTTTCTTAAAAACAAACTTTTACTAGCACTACGACTATGACGCAAGCCTCGACTAAAATGATACCTCCGCAGGCCTATTTTTTTATGGTCAGGCTCAGGCTAAATCGCCGACTTCAAAAATACGTCATTTTGTTTTCTTAAAAACAAACTTTGACTAGCACTACGACTAAATGACGCAAACCTCGACTAAAATGATACCTCCGCAGGCCTATTTTTTATGGTGAGGCTCAGGCTAAATTGCCGACTTTAAATATTTACCCCACTAAAAACGTGTCACAATAAAGTGAAACGAAGAAAATCGATTGTATTCGCAGTTTTGAAATATCTTCGGTGTGTTGAACAAAAGAGACATCAAGTTTAGCTTCCAAAAGGAGAAATTAACATGTTTTGGTAGCCACATGCGATAGTTCCTGATTTGCACGAAAATCTCCTCGCGTTGCGATCACCCAAAGCAATTAAACAGAAGGACGCACATCTCGGGACACCAAAGGTTATAATGCTGCGTTCATTAGAACTTGTGAAAACTGATTTCACAACTTGTAACATGCGAGTACACAAGAAGAGTGCATTCATTTGACGAACGCTAAATGGCTGCTGTCACTTTTGCAATGTGTTCGGAAATAAAACATAGAAAAAAACTTTTTTTTTTTTAAATCTGAAATGATATTACTTAATAAACACATTGCAATAAATACTTTGCTCATTGTGCATAGTTTGTGTTACATTTGCCATTTTCCACACTACTTGTGCAAATCGAGGAAGAAAATTCTACTCGAGTTCACAACTTAATCGCGCGTCGTGCGGTGATTACAAAGGCCTAATGATATTTTGCACTAACATTAGACTAAAATTATATTCTTCATTTCAACATTAATTTTACCTTAGTTGTGGTGTATTGTCGTTCATGAGACTCACTTCGCAGAAAAAATTAATAAATTTTCTGTATCTACTCAAAATTAAATGTTCGTTTGTGGCCCTTAGTCCAACATTGTCAAAATGACAGTTTAATGTTACATAAGAACATGACATTTTTTTAAATTCATAAATTTTCAATTGCTATAACTTTTCATTTTCTTGGTCAATTTTCACAAATCAAATTGCAGTTTATAGAAGCATTTACCCAGCTCGCTGTCAAAAGAAATCAGATGTAACAGACATTGCGAATTACCTAAAATTAATAAAATAGTAACTAACACCATAAAACGTATGGCACGCATAGACTAATAATTGACGGCTGTATTCGCAACTATTATCAGATTGTCGATGCCACAGTAAAGATCAAAGGACTGTACGTACGCGCTATGTTTGAGAGCGGAGATGTGCGTCCTTCTGTTGAATTACCTTGGATCACCTAGCTCAAAGAGTATAATTATAAACTCTTTGCCTAGCTTCACTATAACAACAACAAAGATAGCGCCGCCCTCGCTCGGGCCCAACTATCTCCAAAGAAAGCAAATTTTTAGTGACTGTTCAAATTCTTTATCGTAATATGTTAACAACTAATATAGTTTTTATTATAGAAAATAAATTAAGCGAATGATGGTATATTATGAATTATGAGGAAATACGTTTTTGAACCACAGACGGCAGCTTATTCATCCGCGTTACCGGATCTCTAAAATTTCGTCTGCTATTGCCCTGTTTATTGGTTAGTTTGATAGTCGTGGCTTGCCAGTCGTCAGTTGAACTAAAACTAGGACTACATTTAGTCGTAGTTAAAACTTCGACTACGTTGTTTGTGAATATAAATTGAAGTTGAAGTTGCAACTAGCACTAAATGAAGTTCTAGTCCACTAAAGTTTGTTTTAAGAATACGGGCGTATATGTATGATTTCAAATGCACATCTAGCTTAAACTATCTACAAGCATACTTATAACACAAATCTTTTGACTACAAAAATGCTTTATATCAGCTATTTTAAAGTATTTAAATTTAAGTTTGTTGCTACTGTACACTGATATAGAAACTATACTTGATTCTGCTATATTTGATAGTCAATATTTGTGATTACAAATATGCTTTATATAAGCTATTTTTATTAAGTATTTGAATTTAAGTCTGTTGCTACACTGATATAGCTTAATATTTCTTATTCGGAATTTGCTTCATATCAATCAGTTACTTTGAAATTTCTGATCTTAAGTATGTTGTTACACTGCTATATAGCTGCTATATTAGTTGATATTGCTGAGTCTGGAAATGCTTTATATTTGTTATATAAAAATATATTTTTTCTGTTGCTAGACTGATATAGAAGCTATATTTAACATTTTGATATTTTTTTTATTTATTTATGAATACGTCTGTAGCTAATTGATGTTTTTGAATCTGGAATTGCTTTCTGCTAGTTTGAAATTTCTGATCTTAGGTATATTTCTACACTGATATAGCTGTTATAATTGATAGTTGATATTTCAGGTTTTAAATATGCTTTATTTCTGGTATATCAAAACATGGAGGTATAAAATAGATCGAAATACCTTCAATTAATTGCGTAGGTATGCTGATTTAGCTGATATTTTTCATAAGTGATGTTTTGGATTTTTGAAATGCTTTATATCAAGTGTGTAGTTACCCAGGTACTGTAAAGCATCTATAATTGATTAATATAGTTGATTTTGTTTTTTGTGAAATGCTTTATATATAGGCCTAGGCTTTATATTTGCTAATAGTCAACTATTATAATTTCAAGTGGATAAGTGTGTGTTGCTACACTGATAAATAGTGGATAGAGGATAGTATGTTGCTATAGTGATATAGCTGCTATATTTCATATTTGATGTTTGAGATTTTGAATATACTTTGATTAAACCTGCCGCTGCACTGATGTAGATGCTACATTTGATAGTTGAGGTTTTTGATTGCAAAAAATATATATGTAAGTGATGCACATATCTTTATATCAGCTATAGAGGAATTTCTGAAATAAGCAGGGGTCCCAAGTCTCTTGGATCTTGTGGGAGTGTACTGGAAATAGTAGGGTCTCCCCACTCACGAGGGCAAGCAAACTGCATGTATTCCGTGAGGGAGGAACATACCACGTTACCTTAATAACAAGGCAGCCAATCAACACTCAGGCCATTGTGCACGTCGCATTGAATTGATTTAAATACCACATAAGAAGTCTTTAGTCTCGGTATATGGCAATTAATTATCGTTTTCCTTCTCTTGATTTCCTTCATCAGCGGATCACCTCTTGTTATTGTCAGAGATCATAATCATTTTTGGTGATACGCTTCACGAGCGGATCACCTCTTGTTATTATCAGGTTCATCATCCTAATATTCTGCTTTTTTATTCTTTCTATCTCCCCATTTCTGTTAACATGATATCTCAAAATTCCCAAGATACGAGTTACGAACATGAACGCTTCAACGTACATTTGGCTTGGCCTGGAACTGATACAATAACGTTTTCAAATTGCTCAGTCATGCGTGACGCCATTTACTTTAGGATAAGTTTGATCGTCGCGTATTCATTTAATTTAATTCGAAAAGTTCGATTTTCAGCTGTTTTCGCTATTTTTTCGCACATTTCTCTTCATAACTTTACTTCTACTTGTCCGATTTTCGCCATTGTTCTTTTATTCTATTCTAAATTTAATAACAGTTGTAGTACTCTTAATTTTAATTCATAAGATTGCCAAATCTCGTCGGACTTTTTAATTTTGTAACCGTGGTTTTGCAAATTTTTCCGTGTAAAACCTACGGTTTTAGCAGAAATGTGGTGAACCGCCCGAAGTTTTTTTTGTAGTAGCTCCGCTGATATTGGGCCGATTTTCGGCATTGTTGTGGCAACATGTAGCTTTATTTATTACATACAACATTATGTAAAAATCAATGTGATTGGTTAACAAATGACGTCGGACTTATTTTTGTAAGAATCAATCAGTAGCAAGTCAGTTTAGAAGCCAATGCATTAGAATAGCGAACGAGTATTCGACCGTATTGTCGAGCAGAAGGAGCTTAACTTTGGAGTTAAAATTTAGAATGTTATTAGCATTATTTTTGCTATGGTACAATTTATTATTAGCATTATCTTTGAAATGGTACAATTCGCACGCTACAACGACCAGCCATTGAATTCGCTTCGACGCGATAAGGGGATTATCAAATCCTACGCAAAGGCAATTTTTATCAACTGGGTGATCAAACTTATCCTAATGCGCGCAATTTTGCGTGTTTTACATTATCAATCATATCATCCTAACCAGTTGTCATGTGTTGTCAGTTTTTTAATTATATTCAGTGGCTATAAACTTCAGGTCAAGGTTGAATGACACGTACCAAAATATTTAACATGTGCGTAATTACGCGCGCACGCGTGCGTCAAAATTTTAAAATGCTCAAAATCACTTTTTTACTTAATTATAACATGGCCGGCGGAACCGGGGGCCGGGCCCCCCCCCCCACTTTTTGGCAAAAAATATATAATGCCTGGAGATGTTTGTATGATCGGAAAGAAATGCAAGAAAGGAAAGAGGGATGAAGAAGGAGAAGGATGGGAAAGAGAATGTTTATCCAGTCCCCGACCGAGTTACATTTTCTCGCAATTCATATCTCTGGTAGGGGTCATGAGTCCTTACCCCTCTCTTGAGCAACAAAAAAAAAAAGGAAAAAAAAAAAGAATTTTACACCTACCTTTTCAGGACCCGTGAGCTGATTTTTATGTTACAATAAGAAAATTAGAATTTTGAAGAACATAAACGTCATTAAAACACACTTCTAATGTCTCACTACTCATTTATTTATGTATATATACACACATAAAATAAAAAATGAGAAAAATTTACCTGACCGTTTTCAAGAGAGGAAACCTTGAATTTTGAAGAATATAAAAAGGCATTTAAAAGACATTTCAGAAGTCAGGAAGGCTCATTTCCCGCATTCTAGCAATCGAAGGGGGGGAAAACCTTGAATTTTGAAGAAATTCAAAGTAATTAAAAGACACCTTAGAAGTCGGGAAAGCTCATTTTCGTCTTCTAGGAATCAACATTTTCCCGGGGGAGAATCCCCGGACCCCTCTTTCTTTTTAGGATTTATTGATTCATGGAAAAA